CCCCCCCCCCCCCGCCCCCAGCTTAGCTTACCTTACCTCTGCAGGCTGACTGCATAACTTTTCTGAATTTAGGGAAAGGAAAGTAGGATCTATTTAGAAGTGGGGATCTGGGCTTGCCTGCACACCCCCTAGGTCATCTTGGGCAATCTCCATGTTGAGGAGCACTGTCTGGATGCCTAGTCCTCCCCAGTGACAGAGAGCTCCTCCAAGATCTCTTGGTGGCCCCAGCAGCCAGCAGAGTGGACATCAGTAATGCTCATGGAGAGAGGAAGGGGGACCAAGAGAAGGGGAGATGAAGGGGGCACTACACTGTATTAGAGGGCCTGGGCTTGGGTTGGCCTCTGCACCTTTGGGTCCCCATGGGGTGGACCAGTTGCTCACGGAGGCTGAGGGCTGGAGCGGGGCATTCTCTGGCTTTCCTCCCTGCCCTTCTTCTGCAGGCTGATGCTGGGCTTTATGGGGGTCACAGCCTTCCTGTCCATGTGGATCAGCAACACGGCCACCACTGCCATGATGGTGCCCATCGTGGAGGCCGTGCTGCGGCAGTTGGAGGCCACGAGTATGGCTGCTGAGAACGGGCTGGGGGCACTGGAACTGGTGGACAAGGGCAAGACCAGCGAGTTGCCAGGTGAGCCCCTCAGCAGGGTGCGGCTGGCACCGTGAGGGTGGCCTCCCCTTCTGTTGCCGACACCTGGGCCACCTCCTTATCCCTACCTATTTCCAGGAACCCTCCTTTCAACATGCATAGAGAAAAATAACTAGGAAATACTGTTTTCTTTAGTTTAGAAACGTATCATGAAAGCTCGATTCTTTAGCAGAGCTTAGAGCGAGGTCCCACCCTGTCCCCACCAGTCACCGAGGGTGCTACGTGTGTCCTGTGATTAGTCCCTGGGGCGTCTTCTGAGCACCTACAGGTGCCCCTCACCTCTCGCTCCTCCTGCTTGTGCTCAGGGGCGCCTCCTCCAAGCTCCTTGGGCAGGTCACATCTCTCCCTAGTCGTCCAGGTCTCAGGACTGCTGTCCCATGTTGGTTTCCCCACTAGGTGGCAAACAGATGGCATCTGCTTTGCTCTGCCTTGTTACCTACCCGATCCCCAGGCCCCACACAGGGGAGCTCGGGGCTCAGGGATGATTTCCTGACTGCCAGACCTGGGTGGGGTTCCGGGACTTCAGAGGTGACCAGGCACACTCCTGCCTCAGACCCCAACGTGGCCCAGTGGAAATAGTGAAAATAGGCCCCTGACACAACCGTCTGACTTGGAGGAAGCCACAGGAACACCTAAGTCAGACACTGGGGGAGTGGAGGGACGGGGCAGCCCTCACTAGGAGGAAAGGGCATTCGAGATGGATCTAAACACCCCCTAGAAGGAGGGGCAGCTGGAGCAACAGTAAGGAGGCAGGAGAGGGGGGCTTACATTGCTCGTCTGGATGGAGCATGAAGGGGTCATAGGGAAGCCAGGGGTAGTGATTGTGAGAAGATTGTGAGACCAGACTGTGACTTTGGGCTGGAGCCGAGGAGTCTATGTGGGGGATCAGCACAGCAGAGTCCTCCCTGCCTTGGCCCTGAGGCTCGCAGCAGAGTCAGGAGCTGGCGCTGGGTGGGCAGCCCCCACGAGCTGTTTAGCTAACAGCAGTGTCCCCACTACAGGGAACCAGGTGACTTTTGAAGGTCCTGCCAAGAGGCAGCAAGAGGATCGTGACCGGAAGAACATGTGCAAGGCCATGACCCTGTGCGTGTGCTATGCGGCCAGCATCGGGGGAACTGCCACCCTGACGGGGACCGGACCCAACGTGGTGCTCGTGGGCCAGATGCACGAGTAAGTCACCGGCCACACCTTTGGGGACAACAAAGTGGGTCCCAGGACTGGGGGATCTACCCATCTCTCCCTCTTCCTAGGGCTGGGGTCAGCCAGGTCTAGGAGCCTGGCAGGCACCTCTGCACCCACTCAGAAGCTCTCAGAGGAGACGGGGAGCACATGCCAGGGTTCCTGACGTCCAAGGTTGCTTCCTGCCCTGGGACGGAGCCCACCAGCAGGCATTGCTCACACCCACCCCAGCCTGCCCCACGTGCAGACCCGCGTGAGAGGGAAGCTGCTCCCGTGGCTGCTGCTTGCCTATGCAGCGTGGTTTTGACAGCAGGGCTCAGGATTCCAGCTCAGAGAGGAAATGGGAGTTGAACTCTGAGCTACATAGTCTAGATGCTGGAGTCTTTGGTTAAAACTTATAGAAAATAGGGACTGACAGGTGGCGTGGTGGTCAAGTGTGCTGGACTCCCACATGGCTGATTGCAGTTCAAGTCCCAGGCCTGGTGGCTTGCCTTCTCACTTTCCCTATCTAGCCAAATTAAAATAAATACATAAATAAAGTTCAACCAAAAAAACTCTTTAAAAAATAAAATGGGAGCCAGCAGGTGGCATGGTGGTTAAGACGCTGGACGCTCCCACCTGGCCAACCACAGTTCAAGTCCCAGACCTGGTAGGTTGCCTTCTCACTTTCCTTCTCTCTGTGCACCTGTCTTTCTCTGGTCAAATTAAAATAAATGAATGAATAGATAAAATTAAATAAGTAATTATTAAGAAAAAACTTGTATAAAATAGATATCCCTAAAAGACCCTCCAACTCAGCTCACCATCTTTGGTTGTTAATGGAGACGGCCCTATGATATCAGGGGTCTACGATGGTATAAAGGGTTGAGGCTGGGTTACTCATGGCCTCCCTATCTCATTCATGACAGCCCCCATAATGCCCTTGAGGTGACCTATCCCACTGTGAGGCCCCTGGTGAGCCATAGGGGTGGTTTAAAACTTCCAAGCCTTAGCTACAAAGGAACATAGCCACGAGGACCCCACTACTGTGCCTGGCCTTGTGCCGAGTAGGGCTGGGATCACAAAAAAGAGAGAAGCCAGGGCCTTGCCCATGCGGTGGCAGTTGCCGGGAGAGTTCCAGGCAGGTCCGGGAAATAAACACCTTAGCTGAGGAACATACAAATTATGGCGGGCAAGAACAGGAATAGGTGGTGCTCGCACACAGACAAGAACCCTGCACGGGGTGGGAGGGCTGCCGGGTGGGCACTGGGAGGAGGACAAGACAGGCCTGGAGCCCGGCTGGGCAGAAACGTGAGGTTCAACAACAGATTGTTTTGATCCCGGGAGTGTTTTCTGTAATGATATCCTTATAGTTCTCCCTCTGGAAAAAAGCAGCCTGTCTGGGCTGAGTGGGGGAGCTCCGTGTCTGTTTATACACCCTCAAACACCTGGGCCAGCCCCAGGGGCTAGCAGAGGACTGAGGATGAGGGGCGGGGCCTGTGGTGGAAGTGACCCTCCTCCAGTCCCCGGAAATGTGTTCCATTTCCACCTTGGGGAGCTTTCCAGATGTGCTTTCCTAAGGGGGTGCTACCTTGGTAGAAATCCAGAGGGTAAGATTCTGAAGCATCTGTGGATCTTCTCGAGTGGTCATACATGCAATCACATGCATGTGTGTACAAAGGTGCATTTTTCTAGAAGGATAGGTCATAACCTTCCTGAGATTCTCAGCAGAGTCTGCACCCGCAGAAGGGCCAGTCGCCATTTCTCAGCCTAATCTCGTGCTGGGGTAACTTGATTAAAGGGTGGTGCCTGGTAATGGACTTGGACTGGACCTCAGGGGGACGTGGCCCTCACATGGACTCCCCTCTCAGGGCCCAGCTGCGGCCCAGCTTCCGCCTCAGAGCCCAGCCCCGTCCCCACAGCTGGGCCTCCGGGTGCGGTGTGGACCAGTGTTTCTCCTTTCAGATTGTTCCCTGGCAGCAACGACCTCGTGAACTTCGCCTCGTGGTTTGCATTTGCCTTCCCCAACATGCTGATCATGCTGCTGCTCGCCTGGCTGTGGCTCCAGTGCTTTTACATGAGATTCAAGTAAGTTTGCGCCCTCGCAGAATAAGGATTCCGATTCTGTAACGCACCTGCAGAAAGCCCTCCAGGCTCATCTCCACTATCTTTGCTCGGGCCCAGACTGTCCTCCAGCCCGTTCCCCCTCTAGTCTGCCCTCCCGCCCGGACCACCTCAGGCTGTTCACGGCCTTTGCACATACTGTTCCCTTTTCCTGGAATGTTGTTTCCTGCCTTCCGACCTTCCCACCTACTCAGCCTTCACGGCCAGTTTGGTGCTGCCGCTTCCCCACCACCTTCCCCGACTTCCCCTACCTCCACTATGTCTTGAGAAAATTCCTGCTCGGTCTTTTGAGCTGCCCCTGGACATCTCTCCCTGGCTTTGAGCTTCTCCAGGGTCTCACTGACTCCTGCACCCAGCACAGCTCCTAGGTCCAGAGAGAAAGAGCAGGTGCACCACCAACATGCTCAAAGCAATGACAGACAAGCTTGTCCCCATGTGTCAATCTCACGCTGCTGGGCAAGCATCCACGTGGCCGAATGGGTCCATCGGGCCAGGTCATAGCAGACTTCCTGCTAACGCGCAAATCAATCCAAACCCAGACCTGGACAGATGTCCACAACGTTCCCAGCAGTGTGCAGGATCTGAAAAGCCGACCTTCCTCCTCCCAGCACTCAGGAAATTTCATCAGGAGTCACCTTTGACAGCAGCCAGACTTTGGACAGAAACCATGACCTGTGGTTGGCAAATACCTAAAATGTTGTTATTTAAAAAGGCACCAATTTCTCTGTGGCACAAAGGTGATCGTGTGGGGCTAGGATGGGAGATACCGAGTTGCGAGCAGAGAGCACACGCTCTGTGCCTCAGGGCATGAAAGCTCAAGCCCTGTGGCCATAAGGAGATTTCAGAGCTCAGGCAAAAGTGCCCGCGGAAACCTGGAATCCAATGAGGAAACTGAAACGTTTCTCTAAGGTGTCTTCTGCGGGAGGAACTGTTTCAAAACTACAGTTAAAAATTGCTATCCAGGGGGACCAGCAGTTGGCGTAGTGGCTATGTTGCTGGACTCCCATGACCGTGGTTTGAGTCCCAGACCTGGTGGCTTAAACTCATGCTGGGCGCATGTACGTGTGTACCCAAGATCCCGAGAGGAGAATGGAGGAGAATGGATTGTGGTGTGGCCATCCCCCCTGGGGGGTGATTTCCCACTTTCTGTCTCTCTGTCTCTCTCTGTCTTTCTGGTGAGCACGTGTCCAATAGCAAAAACCTCTCCAAAAAAAAAGAAAAAGAAAAAGAAAAAAGAAAATTGCTATATAGGGACCAGCAGGTGGTATAATGGTTACATTGCTAGACGCCCACATAGTTGACCATGGTTCAAGCCTCAGGCCCGGCAGCTTAAAACTAACGCTGGACGTATGTGCATGTGTGCCCAAGATCCTGCGAGGATAGTGGAGGAGAAGAGACTGCAGCGTGGCCATACCCCTGGGAGGTGATTTTCAACTTTCTGTCTCTCTGTCTCTTGGCAAGTGTATACACCCTATAGTAAAAATCTCTAAGAAAAGAAAAGAAACGGCCATATATACTCAAAACTGTCAAAATAATGATCAAAGCAATGGCATCATTCACACACTAGCCCACCCTGCCCTACATGCCAGCCCATCTGAAAGGAAGCTCCCGTGATTGCTCCTCAGGGGGCAGTGACTGTAACAGTGACTAGCATTTACTGAGTATGTGTTATGTGCTAGACACTAAGTTAAGCACTTTACACATAACTTAGTATCTCTTCATGACAGCCTGTGAGATGAGTACTATTATTACTTCAAAGTTTATTTATTTATTTTTTGGAGAGGTTTTTTTTTTTTTTTTCCTATAGGGTGCGTGTGCTCGCAGACAGACAGAGAGAGACAAGAGACAGAAAGCGAGAAATCACCCCCCAGGGGGAATGGCCATGCTGCAATCCCTTCTCCTCCATTCTCCTCTTGGGATCTTGGGCACACACGCACACGCACCCAGCGTGAGTTTAAGCCACCGGATCCAGGAAGCGAACCGCAGTTGACTACATGGGAGTCCAGTGACATAGCCATTACGCTAACTGCTGGTCCCTCAAAGTTAATTTTTTCCACAATCAAAAGACAGCGAGAGGTAGAGAGAGACAGCACCTTCAATAGGGTCCTGACGTCCTGGTCCACCCCCAGCCTTAGCCTGCCCCAGATGACGGCAAGTGCAGGGCCAGCGAACTCAGAAAGGGCTCTGGACTCGAAGCTAGAGCTTTCCTAGGTGGGTCAGTCTCTCGGTGTGGCATTTACTTTTATTTTTATTTTTATTTTTTTACTGCTGCACTATTCATCTCCTCCCATTATTATTCTCAATTTGCAGATAAGGCAACTAGGGCCGGGGTGGTAAATGGCCTCCACAGGATTATACAGCTCAGCGGACGTGGGACTAAGATTGAACCCATGCAGCTAGGCTTCATCTAGACTGTGTCCTCTGTTGGGGAGGCCAAAGACCACTAGCTTGCCTCCAGCCTCAGCATGACCAAGTGTCAGGAAACTACCTGTGGCCTGGGGGCTGCTCTCCAGCCCTAAGGCCAACTGAACAAGAAAAGGGAGCTGGCCTGGCACCAGGACCACATGCTAACCTCCTGTCTAGCTGGAGGTGGATGTCAGGCCCGGGGAACTCACAGTCAGGAACCAGCGTTGCAGTTCGCCCAACCGTTGCAGTTTGCTCCATCAGCTCTTCTCGACCAGCAGGGAGCCTGGAGAGCGGCCGCTGTATCAAGTCTTCCACAGTCTGCTTGTGGGGGTGATGCAGGGGTGCAGGGCTACTGCACTGTCCCCTCTTCCCTGACACGCAGCTCTAGCTCAGACATGGAAGTGACAGGCATGGGCAGTTCGAGGTGGCCTTGTTTTGGCTCCAGATCTGGAAGGTAGAGGACAGCTATTTACACTCAGTTTGAATGACAGGAACAGTGCTCTGGCCCAGGGCGCAACCTGGCACATACCAGGACCTGGTGATCCTGCCACCTCTGTGTCCTCCTCGACTACCTCACCTGAGGTCAGGGAGCACCTGCCACATGGTGCTCTCACTTGAGAGACCTTCTGGATGACTGTGGAGAGTGGAGATAACGTCAAAGTCTTGGCCTCAAGTCTAAGCCAGAAGAGCTGTACCTGCGAGATTATGGGCAGCTTCCTAGGCCACATCCATGTGAGGGAGCTACAGGCTCTTCCCCATGCTGCAATGGGACCACTGAGAGTTACATGGATGTTGGTGCTAGCTTATGCCCAACCATCCCACCTGGGCTCACCCCTGAAATAGGGCTGAGGAGTCTCTTGTACTCTTGCCATGGCCGAGGCCCTTGGGCACTCAAGCATCCCCTGCTCCTCCCCCACCCGACTCTCACCACTCCTCCCCACCCCCGCTTGACTTTGCAGCATATTCAGTCCGAGCTCACTGTGGTGCATGGTGGTGCATGGTGGTGAATGGTGGTGGAGCACGGTGGTGCATGGTGGTGCATGGTGGTGAATGGTGGTGGAGCACGGTGGTGCATGGTGGTGCACGGTGGTGAAGCTGTTCTGCTGCAGGACACTTTGGTCTGCACCCCAACCCTGGGCCCCCGCAGGTCAACTAGACCCATTTGCTTATATCTCATGCCAGCCCAGCGGTCACCATAGTAACCAGATGAAAATTAAGCTGGAGATGAGAGGGAAACTGCTTAGCATGAGACAGTTGGAAGGCTTGGTGCACCACTGTGGAGGACCAGCCTCAGACAATGTGGCCCCAGAATCTATAGTTGGGGGCATGTCACCAGCACCAGATATGGGCTTAGGCCCCTTATGGCCCCAGTCCTGGGCAGCTAGGATGATCAATGTCATCCCTTATCATGGAAACCCAAAGCCCCTGGCCAGAGTCTCTAGGTCCATGGAGCCAAGGGTACAAAGGAAGAGAAGTCCCTTCCTATGCCATAGCTGGTGATCCGGCAGGTGACTTTCAGGACACATAGCCTTGTCCCCTTGGCCATACTTGCTACCTCTTTTCCTGACCCCTGAGCAACCCAGGAGGCCATGTGTTCCCGTGCTCCAAAATGTGCCACGTCGCGGGCATCGTGATGCCCTCATCCAGCACACGGACCCTGCCCTCCTGCGAATTTTGTCGTAGGATCCTGGGAAGACTCTCACAAGAGAAGATCCTCTGGGGACAGTGCTCTTGGCCACCCCGTTCAGCCCAGCAGCTGGAACATGTGAATGGGATTCTCAGAAAATGCTTCTGTGCCTGCATAGATGCAACTCGCTTACAGCCCCATGGCTGGCGAGGGACAGTGTAATGTCTTTGTAGTATTCTGCTGTGCCACATTCAGGCTGCATCTGGCCAGCCCCCAAGCCACTAATCTGCCCTGCTGATCTCTCACTTTTGCTTTATCTAGTTTTAAAAAGTCCTGGGGCTGCGGGCTGGAAAGGCAGAACAATGAGAAGGCTACTTACGAGGTGCTGCAGGAGGAGTACAGGAAGCTGGGCCCCATCTCCTTCGCCGAGGTCAACGTCCTGATCTGCTTCCTGTTGCTAGTCGTCCTATGGTTCTCCCGCGACCCCGGCTTCATGCCTGGCTGGGTGTCCATCGCTTGGGAGGAGGGTGAGACAAAGTAAGCAGTTCATTCAGTAGAACCTTCCAGTAGTGCACTGGCAGCCACATGCTGCTGGTCTTGGCCATGAGGGATGTCCAGCACTGGCACTCACATGTGGCTGTTGCACTTCTCATTTGCTTTGGAGCTGGGCTCTGGAGAATGCTCTGTTGGTATCAAGATTATTCATTTTCTTCTTGCCAACCTTCATGATAAAACCAGTGAAGTGTTTCTATGGCACCCTTTTCTCCTCACATGACACCCCCTCCTCTTTGTATGTGCAGCAAATACATGACTGGGAAGGGTGGACAGAGGGATTCGTTGGGCCAGGAGTAGGGCTCACAGGGCTCTGGTTTCTAGATCTCTGCTCTTCCATCTTTCCTTTCTTATCTTTCTTCCTTTACGTGTATGCATTTATTTGTTCTATGGGCTAGAGAGACAGGCACTCTCAACAGGGTCTTCATGTTGCAGTTCTCCCCAGGCTCAGCCAGCCCGGATCACGCATGTACAGGCGTGTACCCAGAATCGCAGAATGCTGCATAACCACGTGCCACCAGCAGACCCTTTTTAATTTTTTTTCCTTTCTTTCTTCTTTTTTCTTCCCCCCTCTTAGTTTTTGCTATAGAGTGCATATGCTCACTGGAGAAAGACGAAGTGAGAATTCACTTCCCAGGGTGGTTGGCCATGCTGCAGTCCCTTTGCCGGTCTCCTTTTGGGATTTTGGGCATGCACACACAAGTGCCCAGGATGTTTTTCTTTTTCTTTCTTTCTTTTCTTGTTTTTTTTTTTAAAGAGGTTTTTGCCTTAGGGCACCTGTGCTTCCTGGGGAGAGAGACAGAGACAGAGACAGTGAGAGGGAAAATGAGAAATCACCCTCCACGAGGGATGGCTACACCATAGATCCTTCTCCTCTAGTCTCTGCCCAGGATATTGGGCATGCACGCACATGTGCCAGCGTGATTTGCAAGCTATCAGGTCCAGGACTCAAACCGTGGTCAGCCATGTGGGAGTCCAGTGATGTAACTGCTACACCATCTGCTGGCCTCTCCAGGCATGTTTTTCGAGCCACTGGGTCTGGGACTCAGACCACACAACTGGCCGTATGGGATCCAGCTGCCTTAACCTCTATGCTACTTACTGGCTCAAGCTGATCCCTTTTCTTACCTTCAGATCTGGGCAAGTTCTTTCTAAGACACACATCTTGGGGTCCAGAGGCTTCTGAGATACTTGGCAAAGGGTATATGTAGTTCCTTCTGGCTAAGAGATCAGAATGGAAGGAAGGTCGAGAAGTGTGTGGACCCCAGAATAGTCAGAAGATGTGGGTGAGGCGATGGCTACCTGTGTTGGCTATTCCATTTTGAAAGTGCTTAAGTTGGCACCGAAGTCTTGCAGTTACCCTGGTGAGCCCAGAATTCTAGACACTCTGGTTGAGAAGAGGTCATGGAGTCCAGCCAGGGAACAACACAGATTGCAGAAGAAAGGGCTGCTTGGGGTCACCTAAAATTGGTGATCAAGAATGTGGACATCTCAGGTTCGAGCTAGGATTCAGTCTATCACTCCATTCTTGATCTTGACTTCTGGGGGCTCCAGCATTCATACCCAGTTGAACCTCTTCCTATCTTCCTCCCTTCCTCCCTCTTTTCCTCCC